AAAAAAAAATTATCTGGGGTAGAGACTAATATCCTGGGATGAGATTATCAGTAAAAGGCTCCTCTGATATATCTGTCCTCTTTATTAATGGTCTTGCTAGTTTATATTTATCTGTTTGGGACCAGAGATCAGTATGCAAAATGGTGTCTTCCTAGGTCATAAATAATTTAGAAGATTCTGAGGATATGTAAACAAAGGAATAATACTGTTACCAGTGAAAAATTCTTAGTCAATCTGTCATGCTTTAGAAAAAATGTAACATTATCAATGATTTATAATTCTATGGCTCCTATTCCATTCAGGCACCCATGCAATCTCAAATACGCCCCCAAATATTGTTATTTAAGTCAACAGAAAGAGAACTAATGAAATGTCCTTTTCCTTTACCTAGTAGGCAATTTACGTTCTCCTTGACACATGACAAGCCTACATCTTGGACCCATGTTTATTCTCTTACCTCTGGCAGTGATGATAAGGTCCCTTCCCTTTCCTGGCTTTATGCAGTTTAAGTTCCTTCAGCTCAGCAGGAACAACTGTTGTACCTGTTTCTAAAAGCTTTGGGGGAGAGATTTATCTACTGGGGCATTTACCCCTGGTAACTAGAAAAAAACAGCAATTCCATTTCCCCATGCCTTAATGAATGGAAACTTCCTCCTCTGATCTTTTCTCATTAGTTCTCCTTTGTGTTAGGAAACTCCAAGAGTCTTAGTAAAGTATGGGTCTCCTCCAATAAAATTGCTCAGAGTTAACAGGTTATATGAATACACATTCTTATGAAGAATTGCTTTAAAAAGAATTAAGGATTTCTTAAAAAATTTAACTTCCTTACCCTCTGAAAGGGTAATTGCATTTTTCAAGGCCTGTTCAGTTTCCTAAAGAAGACATAATTTTCATTGATTAACATTGTTGACTATGTAAAAAGCAATACTATGATAAATTTGTTTACTTTGCTGAAGTTACTCCTTTGCTGCAAGTTATAAATATAAACCACTACTCCACTTTTTAGCCCACACATACACAATTAGTTCCAGTAGCTCTGATGTAGATTTTTTCATAATGTAAGAATACCAATAATCTCCACATTTCAAAGAAAATTGTACAATCTTAATTCTTCCTTGTATGCATGCTTCTTGCCAGGTGAATTGGCAACTCTTCCCATCAAGAGGTGGAATTTCTTTCCCTTCCCTGAATTCCTTGTGACATCACTTGGCCAATATATTATAGCTGAAGGGATTGTGTGCCAGTTCTGAACCTAGTTTTCACTTAGGCTCTGTCTCAACACCTTAACCAGTCATTGTATTAACAAA